ACTCGTCAAGGTCATCCTCACACACGCGTGACGTGCGTGCTACTGGTTCATTTGGATTATTTCCCTCTATCCTCTCTCCATCTTCTCGCAGCGTTGTCACTGTACGCTCATTCGAACCGGATTTACCAGCTCTACACAGTGATCCATCATACGTGGAAATATCTTCTACGATTAGAGGCTGTGCCATCACTAAGCGTTTTCACTGGCATCTGTGATTAAGCGCAAGCGTTTAATTCAATCGTATTGAGCCGATTGCCATTCTGTGTGACACCATTCGATACAGAATTCTCGAGGCAGGCCGAAAAGCCTAAGCTTACTCCGATCCAGTGTTTCTCAACACAGCTGTGAAAGAATCAGTGTTCAGCGCTCTGTTCAGGTTGCAGTCACTCGCCATTCCTTGTGACCTTGTCAGCCAGTGCGGCTGCATTACCCATCACACGGACCGCGCGACCACGCCGACCGCTCATTTGACCTTGCAACCACCACGCTCGCCTGACCGATGTGCGCCGCTCTCAAAGCTGTAAAAGTACAGAACGCTAACCAACCCACTGGGTCAGGTAACGACACCAAATTGAATGGCAGAAAGGCGAAACCGAAGAGACTCCCATCGAAAGGCATTTGCGGGTTAGGAGAATGTCATCGGGTAGTAAAAATCGGTCTGGCTTGTTCGCACTGTTTAGCATGGTACCATACGAAATGTGCAAATGTGTCCCAACAACAGTTACGGGAGCGAAATAGCTCCCAAGATGCATTTTGGTTCTGTACTGCGTGTTCCACCATCCCCCTCGTTAAGTGCTTGCTTATCCTAGCTGAGAAATGCGACCGGTTAATCGCAGAAGCAGAGCAGAGGATAAACAATGAGATTACTTCAATGGGAGCGAGTATGGACCACAGAAGCGTAGCGGCTGCTAAGCAACGGAATGCTGAACAAATCGCTTCGCCTGCACCGCAATCAGCCATGTCTCCATCTCCGTTGTCTTCTCCAACTTTGGTAGAACGCCGGGCGAAAACAGACTGTACCTACGTGAATCAAGCAGTACTCACAGCAAAGAAAATCAGGCACCATTCAAAACGTCTGGTTAAGCAAATTCCACTAGACCTGACATCTAGTATTAACAAGGATGGAGCAGCCAAACACCAACCCTTGGTACCTGTAGCTCAAATATCTCTTGTCGAGACTAAGCCTCCCAGAACATCGGTTACATATGCAGAGATTGCTGCAAGGGTCCACCGAGAGGCCGCCGTTGCGTCCTCTTCCATTGTAAACACCGTTAACGCAAATGGAGAGAAAAACAGCAAACAATCACTTGTCAACAAGTCAAGACAAATGAGTACCATACCTTGTAGATCGATTAAAAAGGGATCCAACAACAGTGCCCGGACTGTTGTATGCTCAAATGTCCCTGAATCTACCGCCATCACATTGCGGGATAAGTTATCAGACGACCAAGACCAATGGAACTCATTGTGTATGCAGATGAGTATCAAAGCCAAGCCCGTAAACTTGTTACGAATTACTCGTCATCCGAACTCGCCACACTATGGTGAACCCAGACTTATTCGAGTAACTCTAGAATCCTCCACCGACGTGGAAAATGTTTTGCTCTCCGCAAGCGCGCTAAAACACGAATCCTGTGCGATACGTATCTATCCTGATGTCCCTTGGAGCGCGCGACAACCAAAACGAAACACCGAAGAGGGGCACAGCAAGCAAGACCGCCTAAACACAGTCTTCATACATGGCGTGCCAGAACATCCTTCTAACCATGTTCAAGATACCGGAAAGCACGATTTAGAACAGTGGCGGTTCATTCGTGAAACACTTTCTTTGGATGATGTTGTGGCACTATCGCTCACCAGGATACCCCTCTCATCGAATTATAGAGGATGCGGCCCTAGAATCCTAAAACTTGTGGTTCAGTCAGAGCAACAAGCAAAGGATGTTTTGGATCGATGGCGGAGAAATCGGAAACATCTTCCTTCCGAAATTCGGTTAAAGGTCGCAAACAATTCGCACAGCTCAAGTATTAAAGCAACTGAAGCAGTAAGCATCCTGACGAATGTACAGAAGTGTAACTTGACTGCTGCTTTAATTGACTCTGAAGTAGGTCTAAACGAAGGCTGGGACGCACCTTGGCCGAATCAAGTTGCAAACGAGGTATCATTGACCCATCAAAAAAACGAATAACTGCCGACCTCCCATCGGTCGGCATTCTCCCACACTTGACAGCTTCACCTCTCTGCGGGCTCCTAGAGACCGAGAAACTGGCCTGCTTGTATACAAATGCTCAGGGACTTTCTAACAAACTGGCTGAACTGAAAGATCGCCAAGCTTCCGGCTCGTATGATGTCATTGGTATCACCGAGACATGGTTGCACACGGGAATGACGGACGCTGAAGTGTCGCTACCCGGCATGTCGCTGATCCGGAACGATAGGCTCACAAAAGGAGGAGGGGTAATCCTGTACTACCGAAACGACTTACAGTGCGAAGCCGTGGAGGATTCAGATTCGCAGTTCCCCGACTCTCTTTGGTGCCGGTTGCAGTTAAAAGGCAGGGACGCTTGCCTTATTATCCTGGTGTACCGCGCCCCTAACTCAACATCCGAAACCGACTACCACCTAATGGCTGCTTTAAGGTGCAGTTTACAACAAAAGTACACTCACATTCTTATCATGGGTGATTTCAACGTACATTGTTTAGAAGCCCCTGCCACAACCGGCGAACAATTCAAAACCGATTTACAAGATCTAGTAACTACTGCTCCTCTTTACAACCACATCACTTTGCCCACTCGGTTCAGAACTGGTAACAGGCCATCTGTGTTGGATCTTGTGCTTACCAACGAGGAGCATATGATTGATGCGTTGGTTTTAGACTGCCCGTTGGGTCGCAGTGATCACGCAGTCATCAGTTTCAACTTCGTCTGCTATGCAGAATATCGGAATGATAACGATGATACTGTGCGAACCATCACAAGGTACGACCGACTCGCCCAGCTAGTCAGCGCCACAACATGGTCTTTCCTCGAAGAAGAACCCCCGGAAGTCGCCTGGCTCGAGTTCGTCAAAACATTCAGTCAGCTGATTGCACAGGCTTCAGAGATAAAAGCTTGCAATAAGTGCAAATCCGTTTCTTTCGTTAGGAGCAGAACCCGAAAATGGATGACAGTACGCAACGCAGCATGGCGAGTGTACAGAGAAGCTCCAGCACCAGAAACATGGGACAACTACGTAGCCCAACGTAACCACTGCACTCAACTGTTAAGAGAAGACAAAGCCGCCTATCAGCAGAACATCGCAAAAACCTTCAGTGCTAACCACAAACTGCTGTACAAGCACGTTAATAGCCTACGAAAGGTGAGGCAAGGATTTCCTCCACTCAAGACGGCTGATGGCCCAACAAGAACGTCTATGGAAGCTGCAAACGCGCTGCAGATGCAATACGCCCCCACGTTTCAAAGGGTCTTGCCACCAAGCGATCTACCAAGCTTTGTCTTCTGCTCACCAGGACTAACCCACATCAATTTTACCGCAGAGGCTGTATTGCAAAAGCTGACTTCTCTACGCAAACACAGCTCGCCGGGTGTCGACGCCATTCGTCCTGAGGCATTGGGAGTAGCAGCAAACCAACTGGCAGGACATTTAGCTCAGTTTTTTCAGCACTGCTTAGACCGGAACCAAGTTCCCGCCATGTGGAAGCTTGGAATAATAAGCCCGATTCACAAAGGTGGAAGCAGATCTGATCCCTCCAACTACCGCCCAGTAACCCTTCTTCCTATACTCTCCAAGGTCATGGAATCCATAGTTGCCGATGCACTGGTGTGCTATCTGGAAAACTGCAACCTCATCACTCCTGAACAGCACGGTTTCCGTCGACAGCGGTCATGTACAACTAATTTACTCATTGCACGCAGTAGTTGGACCGAGGCAGCCGACGCTGGAGAAGGTGTTGATGTGATCTACCTGGATTTTTCCAAGGCTTTCGATCGTCTAGACCATCGGATACTTCTATCCAAGCTGCAGCATTACGGGATCGGAGACCCTCTTTTAAGCTGGATCGCCAACTTTCTATTTCAAAGGCAATTAGTGGTCAGAGTTCGGAGCTCTTTATCGGACCCCATACAAGTGGAGTGTGGTGTGCCGCAAGGCTCAGTTCTAGGTCCACGTTTGTTTCTGGTGTTTATTAATGACCTTGCACAGGGAATCGCTTCAAACTTCCTAATGTTTGCCGACGATATCAAGATCTGGCGCAGGATCCAGGCGAACGCCGACCAACATGTGCTCCAAAGTGACTTAGATACAGTGTATCAATGGTCGATCCAAAACTTATTGCATTTCAACGTCAGTAAATGCAAGGTGCTTTCCATCCGACATCACGGCAGCTACTCATACCGACTCGGAACGGATGTACTGCAACAATCAACTCTCGAACGTGACTTGGGTGTCCTGGTTCAAGATGACTTGGGTTGCTCCAGGCAATCCGAAAAGGCCTCGAAGACCGGGAATCAACACGTTGGGCTGTTGAGGCGGGCGTTTGGACAAATAAACAGCTCCATATTTCGACAAATGCTCAGTGCGTATGTTCGCCCCCATGTCGAATACGCAATTCAAGCCTGGCATCCATGGCTGAAACACGACCTTAATGCACTGGAGCAGCCTCAACGCCGGGCATCTAAGAACGTAACTGGAATGCGCAATCTGTCCTACCAGGAGAGGCTGCGACGACTAGGATTGTTCAGTGGAAGCTATCGCAGGCTACGAGGCGACCTGATTATGACATACTTGATTCTGCGAGACCCACATCATGTGTGCCGCCCTTTACTGCAACTCAGCAGCAATACAAACCTGAGGGGCCACTCATTAAAACTCGCAGAACAATACAGTCGTCTGGAGTGCCGCAGAAATTTCTTTTCCATCCGTGTCTGTCACCCGTGGAATGCTCTCCCAGAATCGGTCGTCTCTGCACCGACACTAACAATATTTAAAAGACGGTTGGACGATGCACTCATCCACTTACACTTTGTTACTTAACACTATGTCTCCATCCTACACCTGGAGTTTACCCTGGAATTATTTGTTGTTAACTGTGAGTGTTGTGAATCTAAGTGGATCGCAGGACTGCAGCGAAGCAAACGATAAGTCCTTATTTTCGTATTTAAAGTGTTAACTATTTTACTATCCTTTTCATCATAATTATTATGTTGATATCCCCACCAACTATCCAACGGGGCTTGTAAAGCAACGCTTCTTAACCCGTATAAATTCATTGTTCATTGTTCATTGTCCATGGTGGTCTCTGCAGCTCAGCTTTTC